AGCAACTCCTTCCTCATTCTTATTTTTCAAACTAGTTTATCAAGTTCCACCAAAAAACCAAACAAACTCTGTGGGAAATTTGATTGGAAATACATTGATCTTTAGGTCAATTTGGAAAGAAGTGACATCTTTTCAGTATGGAGTTTTTCAATCCATGAATATGGTATACTTTTCTTTAGTTGCTCTCAATGATGTTTTATAGCTCTGTAAGTCTAGTTTTCTATAAGTATATATTGATCCCTTCAACCATTGGAGAGTCTGGATAGAGCATGGGTTAGCTGGCCCTATGCAGGTCACTACAGCCTTGAATACTTTCATCTGTTTACCCTTGTGAACTATACAGCTATGTGTGACATGGTAGAAGTATTGGGAAGCATTGGGAAGTCTTTCTAATTTTCTGTTTCTGACCAGCTGCACAAAACGCTGTGTTGTGAGCAGTCAAGAATGCCATCCAAAATGCTCTCAAACATTCCAAACTCCTGAGTTGTCCATGATGTACATTTAGCACCTTTATTTTCATAAGCCTGTTGGTATAATCTGTGCCCATAAATTAAGAGGGTTTATTCTTGTAAAAGGAGAATAATAATATTATTATGTACCAGAAATGTACCAGGTGTGGAGACTCTACAAATGTCTTCTTACTTAAGTTTTTGAGCAGTCCTCCGAGGTTGTCAGTGTTATCTATATTTTATAGATGAACATGCTGTATTTCTGAGAGGCAAAGTAACTACTAAGTGGTAAAACGATTTCAGGCAGACTAGATAATCTGAAAACCCTCCCTCTATAAAGTTCATAGAAATACTGTGTAAAATATATCAAACAATTTCCAAATAGATAGCTGAGGTTAGAAAAAAGGAAAAGAAATCTGTAAGGTTCAGAAATGAAGAGAAAGCTGAAAACCAGTTATCAGGCAGTTTGTTTTCATAGGATCACTTTGGGACAAGAGATAAGTCCTGGAAACTGAAACTCTACTTGGAGATGAGACCCTCAAAGACTACATCCTCAGTGAAAGGGCTGGCTAAAAACAGGTCCTGCTGGCAAAAGGATATTTATTTATTTATTCATTCAATAACTTTTTCTGAAAGCCTACTATATGTTAGGCTTATATTTTAGGCACTTGAGATATAGTGGCAAAAATACTAGTCCCTTGCCCTTGGGAATTTATATTCTAGTAGAGGAAAGACAGAAAATAACCAATAGACATATAAGTATTCTAGAAGGATGTTTATGGGGGGGAAAAGAACAGAACAGCAAAAAAGGGATCAGGGAGATAACAGGGAAACTGTTCATCTTAGCCTGGACTCTGAGAAGAAAAAAAGAATTTTCTCCTGCAAATTCCCAGCCACAAGCCTGCCTTTGGGGGTGGAGGGAGGAGCCGAGGTTATAGCTGACATTAATTATTTGCAGATCCAGAAAACCAAGCGAATAATGAACATACCTTGGCCCCAGGTTATTAATGCCTTTCCTCACAATTCCAGGATTATGAAGAGATGCTGCCTGACAAAAGCAAAAGATAATCCTCCACCCAGGCTGCCAGTGGTTCCCACTGATAAAGCCCATACAAACTTGAGTTCACAATACAAAAATACAAAGCTACTAATGGCAGATTGGGATCCAATACATGTCTCTCTGATGCCAAAGTTCATGTTTATCATGCTTATCTACACACCCTCTTCATATACCAGAACTTATACCACACACCCTCATGAGTAGAGGTGCCTTAGTACCCAGGTATTTTGCATCACAGAATCTTAGGGTTACAAGGGATCCAAGAACTCATCTACTCCAATGCCCCTAACAATGTAGGACATCTTTCTGTAATACAACTCACAGATCATAATCAGCCTCTGCCTGAGTAACTCCAGGGAAGAAGAATACATTCCTTCACCTGATGGTGGGAGGCTTTATCACAGAGGCAAAACAACACTAACTGAGAAAACAGGCTCTGGTCCAATGCTGGCTCTGCAATCTTTCTGAGTCAGGTGATCTTGAGCACGATGATTTACCAGATGAACTTTAGCTTTCTTTTTTTTTTTTTTGAGTGGGAGTCTCACTGACATTGCCCATGCTGGAGGGCAGTGGCATGCTCACAGCCACCCCAGCATTGACCTGCTGGGTTCTGGTGATCCTTCTGCCTCAGCCTTCCAAGGAGCCAGAACTATAGGCATGTGCTGCCATGCCTGGCTAATTTTTTTATTTTTTTATTGTAGAGACGAGGTCTCACCAAGTTACTGGGGCTGGTCTCAAACCTGCAACCTCAGGCAATCCACTCGCCTCGGCCTCCCAAAGTGCTGGGATTACAGGCTGAGCCACCACTGAGCCTGGCCTCTTTTTTTTTTTTTTAAGAGATGTGGTCTTGCTTTGTTGCCCATGTGAGTGCAGTGGCATGATTATAGCTCACTGTAGCCTCGAACTTCTGGGCTGAATTGATCCTCCTGCCCTATCCTCCCGAGTAGCTGGGACTACAGGTGCATGTCACCACGCCAGGCTAATTTTTTTATTTTTATTTTTTATGTAGAGACAGTGTCTCACTACTCAGGTTGGTCTCCAACTCCTGGCCTCAAGTGATCTTCCCGCTTCAGCCTCCCAAATTGCTGGGATTACAGGCATAAGCCACAGTGCCTGGCCTAAATTTAAATATTCTTCCCTATAAAATGAATATTATAGGGTCATGATGAAAGTTAAACATTATATTAGATATAAAGGATCATTGGGCACATATTAGAGAATGTTATTTTCTCTTCTCATTAATCTCTAGATCTATGTAATCAATACAAAGATTTACTCTGTTTTACATTAATCAGATCAGCTCTATTTACAGGTAATAAGATTTTTTTTGGAATCCAAATTTTAGCAAGAGTAAATCTCATATAGTTGAACAATCTACTGGGAAAAGCTTTTGTCATTTAAAAAATTGCTCATTTTTATGAATTTTGAACCACCATGAAGGCTCATGGCTATTTGCTCCTGTGTGCTCATAATAGAAGCATGGGTCTGAGGAGCCTCGGGATTGGGGGCTGTATGCAAGTTCCACTATGAGAGCTGCTTTTTTTTTTTTTTTTTTTTGTCATCTAACTTTTTTTATTTTAGAAGTTTCACGAATAAATTTCACTGACTTGGATCCCTTTCTTTAAGAATTCAGGAGGAACAGGGAGCAGTGACTCATACCTGTAATCCCAGAACTTTGGGAGGTGGAGGTGAGCAAATTGCCTGAGTCCAGGGGTTTGAGACCAGCCTGGGCAACATGATGAGACCTTGTCTCTATAATAAATTTAAAAACTAGCTGAGTGTGGTGACATACCTGTGGTTCCAGCTACTTGGAAGGCTGAGGCAGAAGGATCACCTGAGCCTGTGGTGGCTGTGAGCTGTGAGTTGAGGCTGTGGTGGCCGTGAGCATATACTGCACTCCAGCCTGGATGACAGAGTGAGACTCCCACTAAAAAAAAAAAAATAATCAAGAAGTTGGCAGGGAACTGTGGCTTGCGCCTGTAATTCCAGCACTTTGGGAGGCAGGAGGATTGCTTGAGCACAGGAGTTTGAGACCAGCTTGAGCAACATAGCAAGATCTCATCTCTATACAAAATTGAAAAATTATCTAGGTGTGGTGGTACACGCCTGTAATCCCAGCTACTCAGGAGACTGAGGTGGAAGGATCATCTGAGCCCAGGAGGCTGAGTCTGCAGTGAGCCATGATTGTGTTACTGCACTCCAGCCTGGGCAACAGAGTGAGACCCTAAAGAAAACAAAACAAAACAAAAAATTTCAAAATTAAAGTTGCTTACAGGCAATACAATCCATCTATTTTGGGCATAAAGTTTGATGAATTTTGGCAATTGTAGACGATTGTGTAGCCACTCCCCTACTGAAGATATAGAACAATTTTCTCACCTTAAAAAGTTTCCTCTTTAGGCACTGATTTTAAGAGGAACATTTGTAAATCAGCTAGGGTCCAGAGAGAAGTCTTGAAATAATTGCATAGGCAGACCACCTTGTGGAATGAGGAGCATTTATCTAATCCCAGAGAGAAGATGGCTTTTGAGGATATATTAGCTTTCACGTATTTGAAGAGCTGCTATGTAGAATAAAGAATAGACTGAATTGATGTAGCCACAGAGGGTAGAGGTGAGAAACATTTGACTCAATATAAAGAAGAAATTCCTAAAAACAATATAGTCACTATTTATAGATGATGAATGTGAGTGAGACTCAGAAAGTAAAAAATTAATCACTCTTGGCCAGGTGTAGTGGCTCATGCCTGTAATCCCAGCACTTTGGGAAGTCAAAGTGGGAGGATTGTTTGAGCCTAGGAGTTTGAGACCAGCCTAGGCAACGTATTGAGACTTTGTCTTTTAAAAAAAAAAAAAAATCAGCTGGGCATTGTGGCACGTGCCTGTAGTCCCAGCTACTCAGGAGGCTAAGGCAGAAGGATCACCTGAGCCCAGTAGGGCAAGGCTCTGGGAAGCCATGATTGTGCCACTGCACTCTAGCCTGGGTGACAGAGTGACACTTCGACTCAAAAAAAAAAAAAAATTACTGTAGATCAAACACCTGGGAAGTGGCAGAATCAGAATTTGAACTCAGGTGTTCTGATACTAAATCCAGATTTTCCTCTTCTACCCTTCTCTTTGGAAGATATGCAGGAAGCCAAGAGAGTATAGCTTCAAGGTAGAAGAAGGCCTGGTATGAGGAAGCTGGTCAGATGTTTGTCTTTGTAAACCGTTTACCCACTGGCTCAGGTCATGCTTTTGTTGGGGGCAAAGCCAAACCCAGCAAAGACAAGTGGCCCTTCGAGTGTGGGTGGTGGAGGGGTGAGATCACCCAGTCCTCAGCCTATGGTTTGCTTTGACTCACTGCCTGGAGCAATCTCTTGCCCTGATTTGCAGTGTGGGCTGAGGATCCAGGTCAGTGAGAAACCCCGTGCTAGAACGGTCTGTGTGGATGGGGCTGATAGGGATCAGATTGTGGCTGGGACTAGGGACTGAGCACCAGCCCACTGCCTGGGCAGCAGGGTGGATGAGCTCGCTTGTGGACTGGAAGTGCCTTTCACCTGCCCTGCTGGGCTTGCCTGTGAGGCTCTGAGTGTGTGAAGGGGAAGACAATTATCAGTAGACTGGAGAATAGAAACAGCACTGTCAGGTGAGAAAGAGGGAAAATAAGAGAGGGGAGAGAGCATATAGGAGGAAGCCTGGGAAGTGGGCGTGTGGGCTTTGACTGGCTAAGCTCCTGGGAGCATGCACGTAAGAACTCCCAGGGCAGGGGGAGGAAGGATGGGTGGACTGAGAGGCTTTGCCTTACTTACTGGGACTTATTGGCCCCCTGGCCGCCTACTGGGTGAGGTTGCACAGGTTACTGCTCCCTGGTAAGGGGCAGTGTGTGAGGTTGCTCCAGTGAAGACCCTGGAACTAGGGACAGCAGAGGCTCCTAACGGGATTGGGGGCTGCTTGGGTGTGACCAAGACACCTACCTAAGGGAGAGAACTGAAGAAGGCAGAGGCACCTCCCTTCCCCAGGCTGCCCTACCCCTCCTCATTCTCTGGGAACGGCATCCTGCAGAGTTAGGCAGGTGGGCCACGGTGCCAGGTTTTCCAGCCAACTGGTAGGAAGCAGGACAGAGGTCACTTGAACTCAGACCACACGTCCCTGTTAAATACATTAGCTTTTAAATCAATCTTTGTTCAAAGTCCAGTGAGTTCCAAGACGAGTGCTCACCAGCAGAGACAGGATTCCCGCGTGAACGGAGCAGCTCTGCTTCCTTCCAGATTCAGGTAAGAACTTCTCTGTGTCCTCTTTGAGGGGTCTGGCCACCTAGGCCTGAACTACCTTCTTTATCCTCCTTTTCACCTTTTCTTTTTCCAAGCAGGCAGCTGGCTGTCCAGGGCAGAGGAGAGGCCTGTGGGGAGGGAGCAGGCCCTTTTGGTGGTAGTTGGGGGATAGGGTGAGGAGTGAGGGGTTGTCCACCTCCGTTGGAGATGCCCCCTTGCCCTTGCAGGGCCTGCTTCACAAAGCACTTAGTTAAACTGATCTCAGAAGAAAAACTCATCCAGGGTTGTTTGGGGTTTAATGTGCAGCCACAGGGAGTGAGACCACAGCCTTCACGGGTTACTAGGAAGATACTCCCAGAAACTTCCTACTCTGCCAGGGTTTTGGGGAGTATAGAAGACTTTCTTCTGGAAGCAGCCCTTCAAAGACACAACTTGACTTTCCCACTGGATAATAAAACACGCATCTCTCCTCTCTATATCACATTGTAGCATTAAGAAATGAGAAAGAGCAGTGGATTTCTAGGTTTGCTGCATTTTGAAACACAGATTCCCCAGGCTTTTAGCCTTTGGAGTTTCTTGTGTGAATCGGAAAATCTTCATTTTAAAGCTCTTCTGTGCAGGCAGGTTTGGGAACTACTAGTAGCTTATTTCCCAAGCGTAGGAGCCAAGGGACTTAAATATGACTTTGGCCTAAGGGTTCATCAGCTCTAAAGATTCCTGATCTGGTTTGGATCCAGCCCTGAGGATTCTTAGGTTGGCTCCACCAGAGGGACACCTTCCATTTTATTTACTGAAATCCCTGCAATGTGTCACCAAAGCTTTCAGTCCCGTGTCCAGAAGTCACAGGGGGCTGCCTGCCTCAGTCTGTGACTGTCCTGTCACCCGGAGTCACATGTGCTCTTTCCTGCAGTAAATAACTCAGGGACTTTGAGTTTGTTGTGACTAAGTAAATTGTGCTTATCTTTGACTTTTGTATTTTCTCTGCACCCTAAAATATGAAGTTGTTGGTCATGTGTCTTATGTTTGTAAACCACTTGCTAGACAGTTACTTCTTATCTAAGGGAAAGGACACCAGGCTGGAATACAAATAACCAGGGTTTTGACTCAGTTGTTAGTGACAGGCAATTAGAAACATTACTTCACCAACTGAAGCCTCACTGTCATCATCCATCTGGGAGGGGGCCTCTTGTCTTTTCCTCAAGGGTGTACTTAAAATAAAATATAAATATGAATGTGTTAAAAGCATAATGTAAGATGGTTTTAACACATAGGTAAGATACCTATCAAATGTGTGTATCCACAGGCTCTGAAGAACAGTGGGAAGAAACATCCTTGCGGTCATTCCTTGCAAGGATGACCTTGATCTGGTCTTTAAATCTCACTGAGCCTCCATATGCCGATCACCAATAAGGAGTTGAGACTAGGTCATTGCTAATGTCCTTTTCAGCCCACCGAGTGTAAGGTAGATCCTAGAGTCTTGAAGCCTGACTTTTTGTCATTTGGGTATGAATTCCAATGTTACCTTCCTAGGAAAGAATTTCTAGATAGCATCCCACCCGCATCTCACCACTATCTCTATCATTCAGAGCCTTCACCATCAGAAATCATCTCGTTTACTTTTTACTTGTCACCTTTGCCAGATGTTAAGCTTCAAGAGTGCAGGGATCTTGTCTTTTGTGTTACTTGCTATATTCCCAGGTTATAGAACAGAACCTGGCACCAGAACAGATTTGCATAACTGGCAATTAGTGTGGCAAGGAAGGACATGAAGCATAGATGTAGGTGGTTTTGATAAGGTGTGCCTCAGGAGAGGAGGCTGCAGAGCTCTGATACTCGGATCCAGGGTCTGGTCATGTGGGAGTGGACTTCTCTTGTTACATCTCGGTTAAATGAGTCTCACGCTTGTCACATAGGCATTTGGTGAGAGTAGCAAGCTGGAGTGAGGTGTGTTTTCCTCAAGATCTCAGCAACTCCTTTTCTTTGGCCTTTCATGAAGGAATGTCCATATTTCCTGTCTCTATGCCTGGTGGGTATCATGGCTAAGTGGTTAAGAGCATGAGCGTTGGAACTGGAAGCCTGCATTCCAGACCAGATTTACTCTCGAAGCCTCTATTTTCTCATCCGTCAAATGGATTAAATGAGAGAATGCGCATAGTGTCTAGCACATCTTAAGTGCTATTATGATTTTCAGACAGCTTTGCGATGTGCATGACCCTGGAGAATAAATGAACAGTCAGTGGCAAGAGTTTTCATAAGCAGGAAAGATGGCCCGAGCCTCCTTGTTGACATCTATGAAAGATTTGCTCTTGAGCTGAGATGGCCACTGGGTTCAGAGGCACCACGCCGGTTAGAGGCACAAGTATTCTGTATTCATTAAGCTGGGTGGGAACAATGGGGTTCCTTAGGGAACACAAATCTTAGTGATCCAGAGAAGCCCATGGGCTTTCCACCAGTTGTATTGAGTGCATACTTGGTGGTGTGAAAATATAGAAAGGGGCTGTGATGGCTGCCCTGAAGGGAGCTTATGTTGATGGGGACACATGACATAAACACTGAAGTTTCCGGCAATTTACAGGACTGAACCCAAGGTGCTTCAAAGTCTAACTTGACCTCCTCCTTTCTCAGCATACACATGCGCTCTGGTCTTTCTGAACCATTCATCACTCAGTGGACACACCTGTGCTATTCCTTCTGCCTGGGATGACTTCCTCCTAGTCTAACTGCTTGGATTCCCAGGACACATTCTATCCCGCAGGGCTGGGGGCAGGGTAGGTGATGGGTCTGATTTTTTTTTTAAATTTATTTTGTTTTTTTTCCCAGTTGGGTTTGAATCCAGATTCTGCTCTTCCAAATAGCCAGGGAAGACCAGCTTAATTCTTCAGGCCCTTTTTTTTTTTTGTAAAATTGTCCATTAGGATTATATCAGAACTCATAAAAAGCACCTAGGCTGGTTCCTAAAGCCTAGTAGGAACTCAATAAATGTGCATAGCAATAAGAAAACATTTTTATTTAAATAGTCCAGCACCCATATTGTTGTTTGGTAGTTATGCTTTATAGCTCTCTGGGCTCTTTAAGGGCAGGATAGTGTCTAAGCTGGGCTGAACCCTAATACTTGCCCCACAGAAGGTCCTGTATAGAACTTGTTGAATATATAAATGATACTTGAAATTCAGAAAATGGGGTGGTATTGTCAGACTGGGGTGGCCATGGAAGGACTTATATGTGATCTAAAGTTTGAACTGAGCCTTGAAAATGGGTCGGTCTTGAATTCATTCACTTGGAAAAAACGTTTACTTAGCACCTACAAGGAATCAGTAGTCGGGAATGGCAAAGGCATTCCAGGCAGAGCAGGTGGCATGAGCATAGGCCTGGCTGCATAGGGTGACCACGCATAGACCAGCTTGGTGCCTGCCAAGGAGCCGAGAGGGCTGAGGTGGGGCTGGGTTATGCCAAACTTTTGTTTGTGAATAAATTTTTTTAGAAACTAATGTGGTGAAAGCAAGGTTGGGAAGTCTGTCTCGAGGTAGTGACTGGGAGTGACTGGAGGCAGGAGGCGTCCTGTTGAAGTCCAGAATACCAAAAAAATAAAAAATAAAAAAAAGTGAGAAGGTAGAAATGCAAGTTGAAATTCCAAATGTTTTTTAAAGCAAGGTGCTGATTTGGGGAAAACCCTTGTCTCAGCCGGTCCTCAGGATGGTTCAACTGTTTTCAGGTACCAGTACTACCAGCAGCACAAGGGCGTCCTCTCTTTATGGTGCCTCTGTTGCCACACGATATTGGTTCCATCTCTCCCCCAACTCGCAGAACTTTTAGATAAGCAATTGAAGCACGAAAGGCCTTGAACATTACAGCCCAGAGTCCTGCCATATAGGACAAAGTATCATTTATGGTGGCTGTGGGTGTGCGGGGGGTACCAGCAAGCCAAATGGACTTTGAGACAAGCAGATTTCAATCTTTATCACAAATGGAAAATAAAAATTTCTCACTGGGCATGTGATCACTCTTCTCCAGATAATTCTCAATGAAATGCATTTCACTAATTCTCTACATTTGAAATTGATCTCTGGCTAAGACCAAACAGTAACTATCACAATGTACAGTAAGCAAATACACATTTTAGGGCCCTGCTTCTCCTCTTATTGTTGGTATTAATTACTTAAATTTAATATACTTGGGTGTCTGCCTTTCCACAGGTCTTGCTTTTTAAAGGACGAATACAGATGGCCTTAAATTTATGATTTACATCAAAAATATAGGTTCTGCTCTAGGTAAAATATTTCTGAAATTGAATTGCCTTTATCTCTTCCTTGCTACAGACATCTCTGTCAGTACCGGCTGAGACACAGTAGAATTTTTTTTATGCTGTTAGGACAAACAACACGTGCTGGGGCTCTGAAGGAAGCCAGACGTGGCTGGTATGGGGCATGAAGCCTTTGTGTCAGGGCTGATGACTACAGGCATTTCTCAACCTGTCTGAAGTTGCTGACTTAACGGCACACAGTCTCCACCAGTTGTGTTTTTCCAACAAAATTCTAGTGATGTTTTTCCTTTCTCCTTACCCAGATGCATGGCAATCCTAGAGGAACAGCATTCCTCAAAAGTGCACACTGTGCAGGCACACCTGGTCAAGCTTCCTGAGAAGGTTGCCTTTTCCTTGTTGAATTTTGAAGTGTTTTAGACAAGTGTGGAGTTCAGCAGAAAGTGAATAATGTCTAAGTTGAATGTTACGGGAAAGACCCTGCCCTTTCTTCTCCTCATTCTGCAATGAAACAAATAGCCTATGGTTACAGCCTTGGTTATACAATCAAATACCCTTCCACGGTTGCAATAACCAGGATTAAACATTATTCATCAGAGTCCTGCTGAGCTTTTACTGTTGAGTTTTTTCATGGCTCGGGTGTTGATTACATAAGTGCCTTGTGGAGAGAGGCACTGTTTTCTTTGTAGTCTGATACTGACAGCATAACTGATTCCTAATCACTGTTAGATAAGATAATAGTGGC